AGTGGGAACCATTACTAGAGAATGGTGAGCCTCTACTGCATGCCCAGAGGATCCTGGAGGGCACCCATCAGATAACCCTGTTCCAGTTTGCAGAATCTCAGGTTTCCCCACACCAGGGCTCTGACTTTCGTGTAACAGGCCTGCCTTGACTGAATGTCAAACATCTCTGTAGCACTGTGGCCCTCAAAATGATGTTTTCAACTATAATTCCACGCTATCTGTCCTTTCACTACAGGAGATAAAGATCTCTCCATGAGACACTGCAGAGGCTGTCACATGTAGCCCATGATGGCTGTTAACAATCCGCAGGTTCTCATGATCCTTTTATAGGGCATCAAAACAGCCCAGTAGTAACCAGCCAACTCCACTGTCTTTGTAGTTTTTCCCCAACCCCTTCATTATTGTGCAGGGAATTCTCTCACCACACTTCCCATAGCTTCCCCTAACCAGGGCATCTTCTCAGCTTAGCACTGGGGAGACCCACAGCAACTTGGCAGCACTTTGTGCCACAGAATTTCTGTGTCTCCCACTAACCCATGTGACATCCTCTTGGCCTGCCAGGCAGTGGGTGAGCTTATTTTAAATTTCCAGTTTTGCCTGTTTTCATGGATCACCCTTCATACCATTTGTGTTAATCAGGGTCCCCTAAGAAGCAGACCCCAATATAGTATTAAACGTGCAAGGATGCCAGGCGCAGTGGCTCACACCTGTAATCCCAGCACTTTGGGAGGCTGAGGCAGGTGGATCACGAGGTCAAGAGATCGAGACCATCCTGGTCAACATGGTGAAACCTTGTCTCTACTAAAAATTACCAAAAAAATTATCTGGGCATGGTGGCACGTGCCTGTAATCCCAGCTACTCAGAAGGCTAAGGCAGGAGAATTGCCTGAACCCAGGAGGCAGAGGTTGTGGTGAACCGAGATTGCGCCATTGCACTCCAGCCTGGGTAACAAGAGTGAAACTCTGTCTCAAAACAAAAACAAAAACAAAAACAAAAACAAAAACAAACAAAAAAAAACCATGCAAGGATTTACTAGGGGAAAATATATGTGAGAGAAATTCAGGAAAGAGACAGAAAATGCAGGGACCACAATGCAACTCTAAGCCCCAGTGAAGGAGGGAGGGCAGGAAGGTCAGCTGGAAGCACCCTAGACCCTGTGCAGGCTAAGGGAAGTTCAGTAAGGGTGGCAGGGAGCCCCAGAGCTTCAGTCGGCCTTCAGAGGAGAAATGTTCCTGCCTTAGTTTCTGCCCTGCTTTCTTCAATCATTGGCTGGAAAAGACCAGGGTCAGGTGTGATCTCAGAGCAAATGTGGCAATAGATTTCAAGCTTCAAGAGCTGGGGCCATCACCAGTTATGCTTCCTCTAGCTGAAGGGCTGGGATGTGCATTCTCATGACTGCCACGATGATCCAGTGGGGAGGGAGGAAAAAGGGTGATGAGAAAGAGAAAACAAGGTATTAATTGATGATGTGACACCTTTAAGTAGATGAGAAGGGATGACATTTGGGTCACCAGAAGAGGGACTGGCTCTGGCTGAGGACAGAATGGTTCACCCACACAGTCCCCTACATAATAAAATGCCTGACATGCGGTGCAGCTGCAAATGCATGAGCAGACAGTGGTGGAATCTGTGAAAGTTGCCTTCTACTGGGTTCAGTTTTTTTTACCAAAGTAGGAAGCAGTGTCATCAGTTGAGGCAAGAATGGGAAAGAAAGGTTGGATGTGTGAGCACAAAGAGAAGGTGTGTAAGAGTCACCCAGGACAGGAGGAGGCTGAGGGTGAGCCATGCAGGGAGAGTGTGATTGCTGGCCATGATGAGGGATCCCCATAAGGTTTTGAATCCTGAATTTAAAGAGACCAGTCAGCATGCTGTGTGCTGCTCCCCAGCCTCCTGCAGCTCATGGGGGCAGGTGCAGTGTAGGCAAAGGTGGAACTCACCAGCTGTGTCGTTTTACCAGGTGAGTGTGACAACACAAGGGAGAGGCAAGGGAGGGCGGAAACTATTTACCATAGAATTCAAATGGGTGAGGAGGGAGGAGAGGACACCAAGGCTGAGGGACAGTGAGTCGATGGCAGGATCACTAGATTGGGAATCCCAGCAGTGTGGAAGGATTGTTGGAACTGATATACTACAGGGTGGACTCCAAGTCTGGAAAACAGGCACATATGCAATGTGTGGTTCAGTGATATTACATCACAGCATATGATAAAATGATCTGTGTCCTCAGAGCCTGTGCCCACCCTGCAAGGGGATGAGTGGAAAGATGGTCAGAGAGTGGGAAGTGTGAGATGGAGAGTATGGAAGGGCTGGGGTCCTTGGCTTTGACAAGACTGAGGCGGTGACAAGGGTGTGGGGCCCAGGCAGAGAGAGGAGAAGGCCATGGAAGAGAGGAGTCCCGGGTTCTGAGAGGCCAGGGAATGAGGGCATCCTCTCTGCTGCATGAGTGTCAATTGCTGCCATAAAAATTAACACAAACCCAGTGGCTTTAAACAGCACCTATTTATCATGTCACAACTATGCAGGATGCAAGTCCAACACAGTCTCACAGGAGTCAAATCAATATCTGGGCAGTTCTGTGTTCCTTCATGGAGACGGGAGAAGAATCCACTTCCAAGCTTATTCAGGTTCTTATCTGAATTCACTTTGTGCAGAGGACTGAGTTCCCCATGTCATGCCAGCTGTCATCTCGGAGTTGCTCTTAGCTTGTAGAGCCCTCTCTCAAGTCCTCACAGTTGGTCCTTAAGGCACATCTAATACTCCCACTTGGAATCTCTGACCTCCCCTCTGCTGTGTCTCCTCTGCCTTCCTCCTCTGCACCAGCTGACTCCAGCCAGAGCAGCTTGTAATGGCTCATGTGATTTTATTGGACCCACACAGATAGTCTGGATAATCTCCCTATTTTAAGGTCCTTAATCTTCACTACCTGAATAATGTTCCTTTTTTCATGTAATGCAACCTGTTCATAAGTCCCAGGAACTGAGATTGGACATCTTTGGGGACCATCACTCAGCCCATCACATCTGCATATGTTGAAGTCACCATGGATCAAGGAGACAGCCCTGCTGGAGGGGGTGACAGTGAACCAGGAGCTACAAGAGTCAGGATTGAGAGTAATGGCCTGGGACCCATAGGGAATGGCCGCAGTGAGGGGAGTGGGACCATAAACTGATGACAGCTTAGGGGTTTTAGGGAGTGGGGAGGCAGAAAGGTCTGAGAATCACAGTGAAGAGCAAGGACCCCACCCTACCTCTGGGCCCAGGTTACAGGATTCCTGGAGAAAATCCCCCATGTGGGAAGACTGGGGAGGAGCCATGTCTTCAGGGAGACCCAGGTTCCTGAACATTCTGATAAACACTCTATAAAGGTTTAGCTGATCATGGGCTGCTAACTCCAGGTGACACAGTGGAAAGATTTCTGGAGTTGGGGAGAGGGAATGGAGGGACAGACTAGGGGTGTGCAGAGCCTTGTGGGCCTTGTGGGGATGTGAATGCAGAGCATTGGAAGGACCCAGCATGAGTGACACAAACAGGGAAAGGCAATGATGAGCTCATTTCTGGTGGACTCGAGTCTGACAGTGGCGCTGAGACTGTGGGAGATGAGGGAGGTGGAGCAGGGGTGGCTGCACCTGGGCTCTGTTCATGGAGGTGAGGATGGAGGAGTGGTTGGGTCTCAGTGCTGTATGGACCTCCTGATGACTGGATGGAGTGTCTGAGGGAGGAGGGGTCTTAGAGGATTCACTCATGACCCTGAGGGAGGGGTGTGCTCACTCCAGATCTCAGGTCTGCTCTGATGCCTCTCTTTGCGGCTTAGGGCTCCCTAATGTAAATTACGGGGGCTTACTCCATTTTGGACTTATAACCTAAAGCAGAAACACAGGTGGTTGAAATGTTACTTTCATAAAGGATTGTTATTAGTGTATCATTTAGATCAGAGGTCCCCAAACTTTTTACACAGGGGACCAGTTCACTGTCCCTCAGACCGTTGGAGGGCTGGCGCCGCCACATACAGTACTCCACAGGATGCAGATGCATCCTGTGCTCCTCTCACTGACCACCAATGAAAGAGGTGCCCCTTCCTGAAGTGCGGTGGGGGCCGGATAAATGGCCTCAGGGGGCCGCATGCGGCCCACAGGCCGTAGTTTGGGGACCCCTGATTTAGATTGTCTTGTAAAAGTCTCATTTGTTTTGTTTTTTCCTAGATGGCTGCCAATGTTGTTTTAAATTTACAAATGTGATGATTTTATCTTCAATGTAAAATGGTTGCAGGTTGTTTAACTTTATGTATATAGTTTCACATATCTGTAACAACTGTCATTTGGGCCTCTTATATTCTAATAATTAAGACTTTAAGCTGTGTCTACATTGCAGTGCAAATAGTAATGCATAACCCTGACACTAAGAGTCAAAATGAAAAGTCCCTCTCCTGTAAACTTTCACAAAGTTTCTGGGTTCTTTTTCCACTGAGTGGGAACGAGTCAGTTAATGAGGAACATGAGGTCTTTGGCTTCAGCTCCCATCTGTGAGGAGTGCCAACCACTAGGAAGGCCTCCCTGCCTGGGTCCTGGACCCCTACACCATGGCAGAGGCCATCCTCTCTCCCAGTACAAAGCGGTGTCCCAGATAGCCAGCCAGCTAGCAGCTGTTCATTCTCAGGCAGTTTTCCCTTCTAAGACATGAATTTTTGTCTGAGGACCTTCCTGTGTCCAGATGATCAAAACTGATGTCATCTACTTCCTTCTCTGCCCAGGGGCCTATGGCTGTGCCCTCCTCTCGCAACAGGACATCCCTTCAAGACACCCCGTAAGAAGCCAACATCGGGGCCTCGGGACGGCAGATCCTTGCTGGTTTGTCAACATCTTTGAGCAACTACAGCTCTGGAGGCCGGGGTGGGAAACTAGGTGAGAGAATCTTCCAATGTCATAATTTCTGGGTGTCACTGGAACATTTAATCATCATTCCTTTGGCAATTCCAGGCTTCTGTGGAAGGTTTTCAGTGAATTATGCCTTTTCAGTGTGGGATCCAGCCAAGAAGGTTTCCAGTGGAAGGAGGAGATTCTTCAATTGGGCTGGAACCGGGGATGAGCTCCAGTGCTGCCTGTAATGGGAAGGAGATGTCACCAACCAGGCAACTCCGGAGATGCCCTGGAAGTCATTGTCTGACAATAACTGACGTTCCTGTCACTGTCCATGCAACAGAGAAAGCCACCTGCACAAAGCAGCAAGGAAATGCATCCTAAATAGCATCATTAAGTCTTTTGTCAAGGTCTGACTAGGTCAAGGGTAATGGACCAGTATCATCTTGTGATCTGGTAAACAAATAAAAGTGGTGGCACCTCTGAATGATGACAACAATTGAACTATTTACTTTTAGTAAGACAGACAGAAATGTAGTCAATAAAACACACGTAGTAATAGGCTATCAGTTATGCCTGACAGGTAAGACAGAATAATATTTCACAATTAGAAAGTACCTTGGAGATCATCTTGCTTACAGTAGGTCATTAATATCAATAATTGAAGATGAAGCTTAATTTATCATGGTCATCAATCAGGTGGGGCTTATTCCAAATGCTTAATGTGTCTTAGGCTCATTTCCTTGTTCATATTTGGGTTGCTACTTAGCTAAATCCTTTTACCCTACTACCCCAAGCCAGTCCCTGTCTTGATATTATTTGATAATACTCTGCTCAGGAATAATTATATTGGGTGAGAAATGGAGCCCTGTGGTTGTGTTTTGGAAGAGTATTCAAGATGAGAGAAAGTTCTTAGTCCATGGTTAATCTGCAGGGCATTTAAACTACTTCCATATAGGAGCCCAGATTATTGGTTAAATGTAAATGAAGTCAAAGCTGTGGTTCTAACCCTGATTTTTCCAAGAAAAATGATGTCCCATTATCACATTGTACCGTAAGTGCTAACCAGATAGCTTGATAAATTGTTTACGATAGATATTGAGAAACCGCATGTGGATTTTTCAATTTGGTTAGATGTAGAATCACTTTTGATGTTGGGGCCAGCTCTCTGTGTTCTCTTTTTTTCTTGTGGTAGTTCCCAGAAACTCAGCCTGCTTTCCTTTTCTCTCAATGGCTGTCAGCATCCATCTAATGAAATTGTCTTTTCCAAAAGACTGACTTTAGGATCAGATACAATTTTCACCTGTGTGTGTGTGTGTGTGTGTGTGTGTGTGTGTGTGTGTGTTTTGTCTACCTTGCTGCTTCTGAAAATATACCTATAAGTCTTTTAAAATGAAAAAAAAGAAAGAAAGAAAAAAGCCAACATCTCCACACAGGCTCACACATGCTCCGTGTGTGCGCCGAGCTTCAGTTCTAATTGAGGAGGTGTTGGGGGAGGCTCACTAGTCCAATAGAGCTTGAGGCCTGTACCAGTGTCATATGCCAGGAGCCAAGGTTACAAGGGATACAAAGTGCCCAGACCTACTAGAGAAGACAAACCCCTATAGCATGCAGGTCTAGACAGGGCAAGAAACAAGGCCATTCTTAGCCAGCAAGAAGAAGGAAAGAGAAATTACAGGCGTATCTTGGAGGTTTTGCAGATTTGTTATCAGACCATGACAGCAAAGCAAGTCACACATTTGTTTTTGTTTTTTCAGTGCAAATAAAAGTCATATTTATACTCTACTGAAGTCTATTAAGTGTACAATAGCATTATGTATTAAATGAGCTATATACATACCTTAATGTAAAATTACATTATTTCTAAAAAATGCTAACAATCATCTGAGGCTTCAGCTAGTCCTAAATTTTTGTAGGTACAGGCTCTTGCCTCAGTGTTGATCTGCTGACTGATCAAAAACTGCTGGCAATTTCTTAAAACAAGACAATGAAGTCTGTGGCATGTATCAATTATTCCTTTAAAATGGACACTTACAGGGCATTGTAGGGTTACTAATCTGCCTACCTTCTATACTGTTGAGTCTCAGAGAATAGACAGTGCCAGGAGAGGGAGAGAACTGAGAAAACAGCCAGGTGACAAAAGAGAGCCCTCATGGCCAAGTCAATTCTAATCAAAAAGAACAAAGCTAGAGGCATCACACTACTAAACTTCAAAGTATACTACAAAGCTACAGTAATCAAAACAGCATGGTGCTGGTACCAAAACAGGGATATAGACCAATGGAACAGAAAAGAGGCCTCAGGCAACAAAACACATCTACAACCATCCAATCTTTGACAAAACTGACAAAAACAAGCAATGGGGAAAGGATTCCCTGTTTAATAAATGGTGTTGGGAAAACTGGCTAGCCATGTGCAGAAAGCAGAAACTGGACCCCTTCCTAACACCTTACACTAAAATTAACTCAAGATGGATTAAAGACTTAAACATAAAACCTAACACAATAAAAACCCTAGAAGAAAATCTAGGCAAAACCATTCAGGACATAGGGTGTAGGCAAGGACTTCATAACCAAAACACCAAAAGCATTGGCAACAAAAGCCAAAATCAACAAATGGGACCTAATCAAACTCCACAGCTTCTGCACAGTGAAAGAAACAGTTATTAGAGTGAATGTGCAACCAACAGAATGGCAAAAAATTTTTGCAAGTCTACCCATCTGACAAAGGGCTGATATCCAGAATCTACAAAGAACTAAAACAGATTTACAAGAAAAAAAACAAACAAGCTCATTCAAAAGTGGGCGAAGGATATGAACAGACACTTTTCAAAAGAAGACATACATGAGGCCAAGAAACATATGAAAAAATGCTCATCATCACTGGTCATTAGAGAAATGCAAATCAAAACTACATTGAGATACCATTTCACGCCAGTTAGAATGGCAATCATTAAAAAATCTGGAAACAACAGATGCTGGAGAGGTTGTGGTGAAATAGGAACACTTTTTACACTTTTGGTGGGAGTGTAAATTAGCTCAACCATTGTGGAAGACAGTATGACAATTCCTCAAGGACCTAGAAATAGAAATTCCATTTGACCCAGCAATTCCACTACTGGGTAAATATACAAAGGATTATAAATCGTTCTACTATAAGAACACATGCACACGAATGTTTATTGCAGCACAGTTTACAATAGCGAAGACCTGGAACCAATCCAAATGTCCATCGATGATAGACTGGACAGGGAAAATGTGGCACATATACATCATGGAATATTATGCAGCCATCGAAAACGATGAGTTCATGTCCTTTGTAGGGACATGGATGAACCTGGAAACCATCATTCTCAGCAAACTGACACAAGAACAGAAAATCAAACACCACATGTTCTCACTGATAGATGGATGTTGAACAATGAGAACATATGGACACAGGGAAGGAAGCATCACACACTGGGGTCTGTCAAGGGGAGATAGGAGAGGAACAGTGGGGGGTGGAGAGTTGGGGAGAGATAGCATGGGGAAAAATGCCAGATACAGGTGATGGGAAGGAAGGCAGCAAATCACACTGCCATGTGTGTACCTATGTAACAATCTTGCATGTTCTTCACATGTACCCCACAACCTAAAGTGCAATTTAAAAAAAGCCAGGTGGTGGAGAAAGTCACAACACACACGACATTTATCATTAAGTTCACCATTTAATAAGGGTGTGGTTCATGGTGCTGAAAAACCATTACAAAAGTAACTTCAAAGATCACTGATTGTGGGTCACCATAACAGGTATAAAAATGATAAAATTGGAAATATTTCAAGAATTACCAAAGTGTGACACAGAGACATGCGGTGAGCACGTGCTGTTGGAAAAATGGTGCCAAAAGACCTTTATAACACAGGGTGTCAATGTCACGAACATTCAGTCTGTCAAAAGAAAGAAAGAAAGAAAGAAAGAAAGAAAGAAAGAAAGAAAAAGAATATGATATCTGCAAAGAGTAATAATATAGGGTAGTCCATTAAAAGATACACCTGCATTGGCAGGTGCGGTGGCTCATGCCTGTAATTCCAGCACTTTGTGAGACCAAGGCGGGTGGATCACCTGAGGTCAGGAATTCGAGACCAGCCTGACCAACATGATGAAATCCCATCTCTACTAAAATTACAAAAAGTATCTGGGCATGGTGGCACATGCCTGTAATCCCAGCTACTCAGGAGGCTGAGGCAGGAGAATTGCTTGGACCCAAGAGGCAGAGGTTGCAGTGACCCAAGACTGTGCCATTGTACTCTAGCCTGGGCGAGAGAGTGAGACTCTGTCTCAAAAATAAAAATAATAAAGATACACCTGCAAAGGGGAAATCAGTACTTAGGCAAGGTCAGGATGAGCTTTCCAGTCCAGTGGACCTGGACTCAGACCTGGACCTGGACCTGGACACGAAACTTCCAGGCTCTGCCATCAACCAGCTGTGGAGTCCTGGGAGTCCTGTACACATCTAGCCCACAGCTGGCCCTGATACACACTTGCCCAGTGAGTGCTGAATGAAACCACCTAAGTCAGTTTTCTCATCTGCAACCCAGTGATGTAATTCCCTCCTTGCAGCATTCAGGAGAATAAGTGAGAAGAGACACAATGCCAAGAGAAACAGACAGAAGACCTGCGGAAGGCCGGGCCCAGTGCTCTAAAGCAAGCTGTACCTAAACTGGCGGGAAGGTTTTTCAGATCAGGAACAGGAGTTGTTCTGGATTCTGTCTGGGGCCAGGCTGGAAGGGATGCTGCAGGCAGCAGAACAGGATGGGGGCAGTGGCTGTGACAGGTCTGGCACTTAAGTAAGGCCAAGGCCTGGAGCTTCCTGGTGGCTGCTGGGCAGCTCAGACAGTCCCTGCCTTACCCATCATGGTCCTGTCTCTGCCTTGGCTCTCTCCGTGCTGTTTCCTTTGTCTCCTCCTGACCTTTCTGGTCCCTGGCATCCCAGGGCTTCTGAAGATGTTACTCCTAAAATCCCCAAGGCAAGCAGAGAAGAGCAGAACAGCTCCAGGGGCAGTGAGAAGCTGAGGTCACCCCCAAAGGTAGTTGGCACCAAACATGGGGGTGGAGAAGGTAAAGGGGTTTATACCAGAGTAAAGAAAATCCCTCCAAATCCTACCCCGCACCCCCCAACCCCTGAAGCCCCTTGTCTATCTCCAGCTCTCAGCTCCAGCTCCTGCCTCCACCACAGCTCAGACATCAGGGCTTTGTCTCCCCTCCGCCCTCTCCACAGCTGCACAGTCCACAAAGTCCCTGAACAGGAGTTCTCCCATCTAACACTTAATTATTTCTTACTGGTGAGGGACAGCTTGTCCTCTCTTTCCAGGGACCCCCCATCCTTGTTCAAGGCATCCAGATAAAGCCCCTGAACCAGGGATCTCTATCAGTCCCTCCAAAG